CTCTCTTTCACACACACACACACACACACACGTATTTAGCCACCCAACAGTGCCAGCTCCTGCTGTTTGGATGACATTTACACTCAACCTTTCTAGTTTGTGATTGATTGGGGTTAAATCCTAACATTGCCCAAAAATCTGTCACCACTAAGGTAGGTGCATGTGTGTGTGTGTGTGTGTTTGAGTGTGTCTGTTCAGGACCCATCTGAATGTGTGTGTATGGCTTCAATGTGTGCGAGCACATGTGTCACGCAGCCGAGGAGAGCCAGTCAAATGTTTCCAAGCTTTCGGTGAGTCTCCGTTGACATTGAAGTCACTGTGACCTCAACATTGCGCTTAAGTGGCAGTTTCTGCTCAATCCAAAAAACGACAATCAAAGCGTCTGTATGTATATATTTATATATCTCTTATGAGTGGGATACCGGAAGAGTCTTAAATTTGTGACTATTGGCCCATATATTAACACAATCATGAATACGGACTGTTACATTAAGTTCCCCCAAAAACGTTATCAAACAAAAGCGTCGAGGTGTTGCACTGCAGGGCGATGAGAGACTATTTTATTTTAAGTGGTTAAATAATGGACAACAACCTCATACTCACAGGAGGGATCAAGGACTTTGTACACTGGGACTCATTGAGGTGTCTTTCCAGTGTCCCCATTTCTAAATAATTATCACATTTCAAGGCACCTGTACTCCAGATTAGAGACATCTCTTTTGGGACACAATACAACGGCGGCGGCGGCGGCAGCATATTTACGGCAGCAACTGACTGAATAACAATAAAAGCACTTCCCTGTAGATAAAAAAAAAAGTCTCTCCCACACCGTTCGGGGGGGGGGGGAGATGGAGTCACTGATAGTGAAAGAAAAACATTAAATACTTGGCAGAGAAACAGTCGTAAAACAGACCATTTAAAAAAGGGTTATATCCCATTTGAAATATATGCTCCCATAAAATGAATCACCCCTCTTGAAAGCTTTAGAATTCCGGTAATTCATAGAGTAACTATTCTTTGTATTGTAAATCTTCATGTAATTACCTGCTTAGGTGGAAGAGAAAATAGGTATTCCTGAATGGCTGTTAAATATAGAATATTTGGAAAGAAACGCACGAGCGTTCACGGCTCACAATGCACACTAAACTGAATCCTGCACGCGCACATTCTGGGATTAGGACCTCACATCCCGCAAACTTCCATCATCAAGTACGTACTGTATTCAGCATATGTGGCCCTGTCAGATGTGGATAGATGCGATTAGTTGGGCTACACAATTTTTTAAAAATGGACTCAGATGCTTCTAAAATCTGTGCTCGGAGAGAAAAAAGAAAAACAACAACAACAGCGTTTTAAAGAAAGTAAATGAAGCGTTTCTGTGTCCCAAACCGGATTTTCGAAGGATTACTGCAAAGCAGGTAGTGTTCCATATTGGATGGTGAAAAGTATTCTGAGAACCGGAAAAATAAAACAAAGAATACTGCACAGAACAAACATTTGGCATCCCCTGAATGGCTGCGGTGTGTGGGAACAAAGATTCACAAGACTGTGCTCATCATAGCTGTCACAGTTTGTCCTTTTAGACAAAGACGTAAAACGGAAAAACTGGTGTTGCCTGATTCAGAGTGCTGCTGGGATCATTCACATCATCACACCCACGAATGCAAATGGGCTCTGAGGAACCACAAGAGGCTCACGTTTCCCACCGTGTTGTATCTAGGAAAGGTTCCGCAGCGGTAAAATCAAGAGCTCTCAAGTATTTTCATTTCGCCTGCTGACATTCACATTAAAATAATGCAATTGCTTCCAGGATAGTCGTCAGCCTTTATCCATTAGCGACAGTATTGGTAAGTGAACTTGTTTATGCTGCCGAGAGTCACTGGTCTCGCTGATGCTCCAACTTCAAAATAAAAGAATCTAAAACATGGCATGTTCATAGTTCCAAAAAGTGCATGAAAAGCAGCAAATGAATTGCAGTCTCTACCAACCATTACATGTCCTCTTCTTTTGATGATCCTGTCATTGTTCTATGTTCAGGCTGGAGGCCACACGTTACAGCTACATAGCAGCAATACACGGGAGCATGCAAGGGGACCATGAGCGTTTAGCCAGTTCAACATAGCTTCCATTGTTGGTTTTAAAGTGTTATGGGTTGGGTTTTATTACTTCTGTCAAAACATCAGAACCTGTTGAGCCAGGCCAAGTTCATGGGAGTTCATCTAACAGCCTGAGGGGCATTTAACACAAAGACCAATAGGATATCTGGCAATTAGTAAATATAGACCAAGAAAGAGAGTGTCAGGAAACTGAGGCGGGAATGATATGGAAACTGTGAATTGTGGTTGGGTGTAAGCAGAGGGCTGGGGCCATATTCGTGCAAAATAAGCAGAAATATTTTTGGTAAAAAAAAAAAATAATATCCCGCGTGTTGCGATATTTAATTTATTGAGTTGATAAATGCAAACAACCCCGCGACCGAAATACGTTAAGAAAATCAATGGCGTGTGTAAGTTGCGGTCAGAATTAGCGTGCGGCTGCGCGTTACGTGGCTGTGCGCGTGCAGTAGAGCGAGAGAACAGCGTCTGTTTACGTGTGTGTATATTGCGTGTAGGCTTGTGTGTGTGTGTGTGCTTGTGTGCGCGCGCGCGTCTCACCTGTGCACTTGAAACCCCCGGGGGAAAAAACTCTACACTCAACTACATTTATTTTGTTTCTAAACCAATTGAAAGCATTTTTATATTTTAAAATAAGGAGAGAAAAAAACATTCTAAAAATCATTTTAAAAAAATCAGTTCATGCAATGAAACAATAAAATACAATAGGCCCAGTGCACGTGTGGAACCAAGCAAGAAATGTAGTGCCTGTTTTGTTTTTGGAATGCTGACCCCCAAACAAACCCGAGACTGCGTTCTAATCAAGGAAACACGCGCGTGCCCCCGTTGTAGATGTGCTAATGTGCTGTCTGCCGACAGAAGAACACATTCACGAGGGCTAAAAAATAAAACGACAACGCATCTGGTCAATCTGTGGGCCTGCAACAGAGTATTTCGCCTCAGTGCTAGTAAAAAAAGGAGGGTGGATTACTCCCACGCGTCGCGTTCAAAAGTTGTGGGCCTGCATGTTTTGATTGTTAAGAACGCGGCATTTCGTCCATGTGTGCGCTGCTTTTCTCCCTTGCCGCCGCATCACAGCAGATCGGAGGCCTCTGGGCTGCAGAGGCTTCCAGTGGTCCGACGTCAGGGAGCCCACAGCCGGGTATTTGAGTTCATTAGCACCCGGATCAACAGACTATCAAGGCCGTTTAAAGATCGAGACCAAGTGCAATTACTGGCAAGAAGCAGGCTCCTCCTCGACATGTCTATTTTCCCAAAGTAGTCCATTTAGCGTGTGGCTTTTCGTTCCGTTAAACGGGGACCGACACTGGAGCTCGTGCAAGAATAATACGGTTATGACAACAAACAAGAAAACTGTGTTGTTTATTTTATTCTCGTAAATGATTTGAATCCCTTGCTGATCGTTGAATAATATCCTATCAGATATAGAATAGTTAACATTTATGAAATAGACTGGGGTGCAAACTCGATTGAAGTTAAACAGGTTTCACGACTGTTTTAAAAGCGGTACAAATACATTTAAATCACCTAAGGTCACATATGTGAAAACCAGGATTTTTTTAATCCGCAATAATATGCGGTATAAAGATCAAGGTTCACGTTGAATTAAGCGGGTCAGTGGTTTTGGCAAAGTTACAAAGTTTTTAAAGGCCTGTAAACATGAAATCGAGCATGCCCAACAAGTATGTGTGTATATAAAAATAATAACAGGAAGCCATATATTTTAAATGAATCATTTTAGCTGTAATTGCTCTAAAAGGGATAAATCCACGGACAAATATGCCCTTTATTTTATCGATATATTTTGACAAAACAACTGCAAACTCATAAAATATAACAACACGAAGACATTGCGAAAGCAAATGCCAAGAGGCCCAAACAAAGCAAGGCGACATTCTTTCAAATGAATTGTGGATAAAAAGCAGACTGTCCCACACAATGAGGCGTACAGAAAACAAAATGCATGCGTGCGGAATAAATAAAGATGGCGCAAATAAGGGCGACTGCTAAACCTAACCACCAACAATAAACACAATGTAAAAAGACAAGCTCCACCTCAGACAACAAAGTAGTTTACTCGTGTTCGCAAAACTGAATACGCGAATCCCGCGTGTGACGCGACCAGCAGTCCTCGAAGAAGTGGTCGGGCGCTTTCTTGCGCAAGACGCATTATTGATTGGCATTTCCCTGGAGGAGGAACCAGTCGGCAGCAGTCGGAGGGGCCCCGGGACAAAACGAATAAAAAGTTGCCGTACAGAGATGTATTGTGCGTTGCAAGCGGGAAAGAGCAAAAAATAAACTGAATTAAAATATGGCTCTCGGTCTTCCCCTCTAAATGCACATGTCGGCGTGGTGCGCTCAGCGCGCTGCGGACTGCGCAGCAGAGCGGCGGTGCCACAGCGCCCACTATTTCTAAAGCCGGGAATGTGATTTCTCAGGACTCGCACGGCTCCCCCTCTATATATTTTAAAGTGACCATCCGTTGCGACAACTTTCTTGGTAACTTTCGGCGAACGATTCTGCGCCCTGCGCGGACACCACCGAACGAGCAAATTACAAGTTGCGGCTCGGCTCGGGACGACAGAGAGCCCGGAAAGCAGTGCAATCAGCGCAAAGCACCAGCGGCAATTTTCATCACATGAAAACTTTGTGACGCGGGGAAGCAACAAGGACGAGACCGCAGCGCGCGGAGGAACGGGGCTGAGCAGCCGGAGCGGGACAGCGTTTTTATTTCTGTAGCAGAAAAGTTAACTGTGGACAAAGAGTTCGCCCCCCTCCTCTCTTAAGGATATGGCAAATGACAGGGACACGTTGGACATCTACACAAACACGAGTTTGGAGCCGGCGGCTGGGAGCGATAAGAAGCGGAAAAAGGGAAGACCTACTTTTTGCCAGTTTTCTCGCCCTCGCCTTGGATCTCATCTTGTCGGCTTGTAGATTCCTCTCGTCGTCCTCCGTGAGCCCAGAAGCAGCAACAACACTATCTTCATCTCACCAGCATTGTCAGTTTGGACACCTTCGCACATGCGCACAGGCCATTCAATCTGACACCCTCGCTGGGGCCAAAAAACTTTCCAATGTATTCATCATCATCACTTTTTTTGTCCTATCGTCTCCCCTTTAGATCACTTATCTCTTCCCCTCCTCCTCCTCTTCCTCCTCCTCCTGCTCTCTCCTCACCATCTCACCTTCCCTCCCTCCCCCCTTGCCACCCCCTCACCCCCACCCACCCTCCCCATTCAGCTCCTGCCAGCACCTCCTTGCATTTTACCCCCTTAACAGCGAGAACTTGGTTTTCTCCAACCGGCGGTGGACACAGTGAAGTATGGTGAGGTCAAGGTCGTGTTATTCTGGGAATTAACCTGAAGTTGTGTTAAATGATTTGGATTATGAGGATATTCTTTATACATTAAATCATTCATTATTATTATTATTAATATTAATAATAACAATAATAATAATTAGTATTAGTATTTCTAATAATTATTATTATTTCACAATAATAACATTATTTTTATTGTCATAAATTGATATCTGAATAATTGCCATTCTGAGTTCTAACAGAAACCTTTTCTTTAGGTGGCAGCTGATAAAGTGCTCGACGTTATTTTGCACATGCAGGAGTAAGAGGTGCAAGACCCGATTGGAGTTGCACTTTACGGACTGTGACATGATTGTGTGTATGCGTGTGCACGCGCGCGCGCGCGACCACTTTTGTGCACACGTGTGTGTGTGTGTGTGTGTCTGTGTGTAAACCTTGTTGCCCTTAGGACAAGCTGCGGACAGCAGCCGTTTGACGCTTCTATGGAGGCTCCACCAGAAGAGTCCGCATACCGGCCAGAATCCGATTGGCTTTTTTCTTCACCCCTTTCTTTTCCTTTCATGTTCAAGTTTGTATTTGCAGGAGATATTTCTCGGAGAAGTGTTCGTGTTTGCAGTTGGCCCCATGGTGCCGCAAAAAGTCAAATGAACGAAGTTGGACACACTTTCCCTTCGTAAGTATGACTTTCGCTTTGCACCTGTTTGTTTGTTTGTTTGTTCGTTTGTTTGTTCGAGGAGAATGTCTTCATGCTACACCATCAGTCGGGTGAGGCCTTCAGGAGTGCAAGGTAATTTAATATATATTTATTAATTAAAGAAATTAGACAAATATTGAATAACTACATAATTATGCTGTAGTAATTTTACTTATTTTTGTAATATCGAAATTGTAATTTTATTAGGCAAAATAAATCTAATTTTGAAATTGTAGGTCATAATTTAAATGCTAATAATAATTAGTACAATAATAATAATTGCTGTTGCTTTAATAATTATATTTAGAGTAATCATATTATTATAATTGTTTCATATAATACTGTATACTATGTATTAATAAATTGTATATTTTGTATCCAAAAAGTATGGAATTTTAACTTCGAAAAATAAACAAAAGGATACTTTGTAGAAGCTGTGGTATTACAATAGGTATTTTATTATACAATAAAGTCCAGTTTGACTGATGGTGGTAGGCAGGTCGTCATATCCGTGCGGTGCCTGGACCCACATGTCATATGGGAATGGTTTCCGTCTAGTTTGGCACAATAAAGGCGGCTCTATGTTGGAGCCCATTAAAGGCCGGTGGTGATGGAGCAACTGCAGTCTGCTGGGAGAGCGGTAGGGATCAATTCTGTGCACACTAATCCCACCACACTTTTATTGGATAGGTACTTGCATACCCAATCATAAATATTATTTGCATCATTTTTTATTTGCATTCATTTTTGTAACCATATGTTGAGCTTTTGCTGAACATTACGTTGGCATTAAACCATTACAAATATATCGCGGTCTGCCTGATATTTCTTTGTTTTTCTTGCCTCGCGGTTGAACTGCAGCTTGTTGCTCATTGTCATGCACGTGAAACAACAATTGATTTGAATAAAGGCTCGAGTTAATCAAACACGTCGCCTTTATTGGACAGAAATTGCCGCGGGTTCTATTCCCATGAGTTGCATTCAAATGAAACGCGTGATCATTATTCAATAACAATCAGCAGTAATTAGCATTCATTATCTGTATATTAGGGAGTTTGTGTTGGCATCACGAGGCGAGAAATGTTTATTGTTATTGGCTTTGAAGAGAGCAAGGAAGCTGTGAAGTGTGCTTGTGTACCCATAGGGAGTGTGAGGAGTCAGGAGGTGGCCACCACATTAAAAGACCTTAAACATTAGCTTTTTCATGTGGGAAAAAAAAAGTTAAAATACTGTAGCCTATCAACAGTTACCATTTTAAAGTGGTCGCGCTACACGGCCTTGAAGGCAGCTGCGCAGGTAAGAGTGCAGAAAAACCCGAGAAATGGATAATGGAATAATAACTGATGAGAACAGCAGCGCTGCACAAAGGTTTTGTTAATTCTCCTGACGGAGGCGTGGGCGCGTGGCGACGAGGTATCAATAATCCATTGTCTCAATCGATTGGCTCTATCGATACCGCGTCCTTCGTCCAGCTTTCAGTCGGAGAGGAAACTGAAGAAAAAGGAGCATTCAGCAGAACTGCCCCCCCCCCCCCCTCCCCTCCTGGTTGTTGAAATTATTTCCATCATCCCGCCTGACGCAGTTCAGGCCTCTGAATATTTCTCGCTCATCGGCTCCGACAAAATGATTTCACATAGTGCAACACCTTCTTAAAGGGGCAATTAACTGTGATTACGCCTGCAAAGTAAAAGTGTTGCTCTCCGACACTGGCCCGTTGGGAAATTCTTTTCTGCGTCATTTAAGCGTTGACCTTTAAGGGGTTTGTGGAAACGGAGGAACGTCTGGGCCGGAGAACCGTCGCCTATTTGCTCTTCAGAATTGTGGCTTTTTTTCCTCTCCCCCTCTTTTGTCCTGCAGCTGGAGGGAGCACGTGAAGGCAGCGCCGCTGGCTCCGTCCCCCGGAAGAGAAGTGTGCTGCTGCTGTTCAATCATCCACAGGAACGATCCCGGTTTATTATTCCGTCTAATTAGACTCATTAACTGCTCAACGCGACAAACAAACAAAAACATTACGGCCCAGTGGATGAAAATGCACACGAAAAGGCCTTTTGGTCGGTTTATTCTATTATTTTGCCCTCATGGTTTAACCTGGAAACCGCTCAATAAATATATTCTAAGAACATATTTGGACATCTGCGGCGAGTAATCTGCACGTATTTTTCAAGATGTTTTCTCCGCGGCTCCTACAACACATATACGGCCCTTAAGGCACGCGCACTGAGGCCCCTTCATACGCGCAGTTTAATAATGCGGCACAATTTGCGTCAAATCGGTTTGGGTTCCTTAATCTCATTAAAGATGCGACGAAGTGTTCACATCAGCGGAGCTGAACTGACAGTGAAGCCTGACTGTTTGTAAAAAATACAGTTAGCGGCAGACATGTCACAGTATTTTCTTTCACACAGAAATGCCAGAAATAACAAACGAACCCCGCATTCACGCAATCAAAGCGTCAGTGGCAACATCACGCGTCAGATTATCCAGAAAACTATTCAATTATGACAAAGAGGCTGGAATAACTATGTATGTATGCGACAGTATAGGTAGTATTGATTAACTATTTATAATTAGTGAGAGCGGTTTGAATAAAGTCAATTTCAGAACCTTTGACGAATAATGAAAAAAATAAACATCAATCGGGAAGAAGAAGGAAGTGTGTGTGTGTGTGTGTGTGTGTGTGTGTGTGTGTGTGTGTGTGTGTGTGCTATATGGGAGTTTACACCCTGGACTGGTGCGGTCGGGACTGCGGTGACTGTATAATCTCCCACCCACCCACTCACCCCTGCTCTCTCACACACACACACACACACACACACACACACACACACACACACACACACGCTGAAACCGAAGCTTTATCCACGCTGGAAAAGGCTTCGGGTCTCTGGATTAGACGTTGCGCGCAGATAACATCAGCGCACATTAGATATGTGAAATGGAGCACCTCGCGGCCCAGACTGCGGACGAGCGGGCCCGGGGGCTTCAAAAAGCCGCAGCGGGCCCTTTTGTGAGCGCTTCGAGCTTTGTGACTTTGCAAACTGCAATTCCGCCACAGTCGGAGTAATGGGAGAGTAAACACGGTATAGCTGCGACACGGTGCTGGGACTTCCTGCGAGTGAAGGCACGCGCTCCTATACGCGAGCACGCTAGACACGCGCGCGCACGCGCACACACGCCGTTTATTATTTGCACCAACAGTCTATAGATGAGCCGCCAGCGTGAGGAGGTACCGGTGGAAAAAAAACAGCCGTGACTAACAATAGAAATGATGAACACAATAAACTACCATCTCCATCACTGTGTTTATTCTCACAGACCAATTAGAAAATCCCAATCTCTCTTTTGTTAATAGTAGTACTTGGGGTAGTGTGGAGGGGCAACCCGCTGCAGGCCGCTCCCCCCTCCTTGCCTCCAAAAGGTGTCCCCAGAAGCGGTCACACTGAAGTTGCCTTGGTAATTATTAGCCATTAATTGGGTTCAGGACCTTGGGCGTCTGTGGGAAATGGGAAATCTGACCGCTAATCCAACGGGCTTCTCTCGCGGTGTTGTTAACATGCTGTCAGAGACGCCACAGCTACCGACAGCGGGAATATGGATAGAGGTTAGAGGGCAGCGACTACAGGAGCCACAGAGAGGCCAAAATATGCAATGATTCAAAACAGCGTTTGATAAAAACAGAGGGGTCGATTTTAAATCCGTGAATGAAAATTTTGATTTTTTTTTGGCCGTAAAGTTTTTGTGAATTTATACATTGCGACTATTTGTCGATTTACTCCCGACCACACTGGTTATATTGCCATGTTTTCGGTGCCCACTGCTGCCTATTTGTGCATAAAAGGAGTAATGGCACCAGTGGAAATTACAGCGGATTCGTAAATATATTGTGTTTCACAATTTCATCCAACGAATTATCAAACATCACGACCATGTGGTTGAATTCCACAAACAATATTCAGGCCAAAGGAAAACTTGACCGCGACTGATGATCAATTTGCAAAAATGTAAACAGGGAATATGCAAAGTCTGACTGGATCTGACTGGAAACGAGGAGCTCCTCTATAGAAATAAACAAAAGCGCCAGAGGATCCGGGCCTCCTCCCGTCGCGCCGTCATCAGTGTTGTTGTTTTTAATTAATCGCTCGTTAATGTCGCCATCCATTTCCCCTCCGATCAGAGGAGCGAGGAGCGACAAACCCGCCAAGCAAATGCACATTAAAATATCGCCGGGAGGCTCGATTGCAAATTACCCCGACGTAGAAATGACCTTAATGTGATGTAATCAATCACGCTGTCTACTGGGATTCTGGGAATCAAAATTTCTATCTTTTGATTCGGAGCAGCGGGAGTAAAATACCGGGTCATATTTTACAACGCGGCTAAAGAACACACTTTATGTTCAAGTTCAATGCGACAATACGGGTTTATTATTATATAGCGGATGTTCAGGCAGGGCCGCACGTTTTGTGGCGCAGAAGGCCTCGGGGCCTGTCTTTGTTACGGTTTTATTTAAATATATTAACTCAGTGTTTATCACTTTAGGCAAAATAATGACATTTGACATTTGCGAAAGGCTATTTATTTAAATATTATGAGATCAAATGTCTCCAGTGTAATCATAAAAACGAGATGACCTAATCTTATAAAAAAAATATTTACTAATATTAATAATTTATTTAAAAATAACTAAAACAAAATACTTTCAAATATATTGCAAACATTGTATTTTGTCACAAAGTTTGGCTAAGATTCCTGAAATACCAGAATATACTTTGCCTTCATTTAAATACATTTAAAAAAGAAAAATCACAAAATCATGAATATATTAGGTAAATATAATTGAACCCTTATATTACTGGGAATATTTATTGCAATATATGTAGAATAAAACAAATTGCTGTAAAATTCAATGAAAACATGTAATTAGGTTTCACAACTCTTGAATACATTTTCTTACACACTAATACACAAAATAAATAATGAAAAAAAGAAATGTAAGCAAATGAATGAATGCTAATGAATCTATGATTATCAGGGACAAAGGCTGCTGATAGCCATCCCCCTTCCCAAACATGGAGAGAACTACATGCATTTTGCAGAATAAGTCCAGCTGGTACCAACCGCCGGTGCGGAAGTATTAACACCAAGAACATACACACAAGTTGGCAGGCTACAAGAGGCTCATGTGGGCAGCATGAAGTGCTGAGGCCGGTGCATGTTATCGTTAACCACTGTGGACAGACAGAACAGGCCGAGCCCACAAGTGTCCATTTCACACCAGCCTGGCATGGCAGCGGGTCGGGGCTCCAGAGAGCCGTCTGCCACACAACGCAGCGGTCCTTTGAAGCACACCAGCTTCTGGGATTTCTGCTTCTCATCTTTGAAACAAACCCCCTTGAAGATTCTCCAACCTGAGACTTGTCTTCTCACCTCCGGTAAGGATCAGATGGAATTTTTACAAGCTTCAGTGACTCTTTCGGCTTAGATAACACGGTGAGGCTTAGTAACAGTGCAGTTACAAGGTGCACTGGAGAGGTGGACGTTACCCTGTGCGTCCCTATTTAGATTGTGTACCAATTAAAGCAGGACCATTTATTTATTCATCACATATGCATGAGGAAAAAAAATAAGGAAATACACAAACCCAACACGCACAAGTACAAAGCATAAAGCCGAATGGCTAATTGACAGCTTCAAATCCAATAAAAATCTAATTTCCCTTTCGGGAATACGGACGATGTCTATAAGATTTCCAAACCGCTCCAGATCCCACAGTCCCCAAACGAGCAGTGAAACAGCCCTGATGTTAGTACTGTATGTGGGGAGTGACGTCACTGCTGCCAGCTAGTGGGGCCCCACACACACACACACACACACACACACACACACACTCGTGGTGGTAAAAAACGCTAAGCAGGAGGGATGGGAA